CAATTTCAGGGGCTGGAAAGAATTTCCAAGAATATTTGTTCATACTGTGAAGCAGATGCCTTCCACGGGGCGATTTCCTTGCCTGCTCTGCCCCCGTGTGGCCAACCTCAGCACTGCACACGAGGATTTCCTCCCAAAACATCGCGGGCAGAATTTTACAAAATTCTCGAGGATTTTATTCTAAAAAATCTTGTCCACTTGGGATATCCCGAGCTACTTTTCACCCCCTGCCCTTTGTCTTGTAAAACAAAAAATAAAGCATAAGATAAACATCATCTCTTGCGATTGGTGGCCCTAAGCCCACTTCCTATTAAACTTGGTTAGTTCAGCACTGTTGTTACTTTGAATGGTCACTAAACGAATGATTATAAGTCTAGGGCTGGCTGTTGCTGGCTCTCCATGCAGTGTTTCAAAGTTAATAACTTGAAGATGGGTGGACTTCACCTCCCAGAATTCCCTAGCTAGCATGGAAGTTGAAGTCCTCACATCTTAAAAGTTCACTAGCATGCTGGCTGGGGAATTCTGGGAGTTGAAGTCCACCAGTTTTCAAGTTCATTAGCATGCTGGCTGGGGAATTCTGGGAGTTGAAATCCACCCATTTTCCAGTTCAATGCCGTGCTGGCTGGGGAATTCTGGGAGTTGAAATCCCTCCATCTTTTAAAAGTTCACTAGCATGCTGGCCTGAGAATTCTGGGAGTTGAAGTCCACAAATCTTCCAATTCAGTATGAAGCTGGCTGGGGAATTCTGGGAGTTGAAGTCTTCCCCCCCTCTTCAAGTTCATTAACATGCTTGCTAGGGAATTCTGGGAGTTGAAGTCCTCAGATCTTCAAGTTGCTAACCTTGAGAAACACTGAACTTGGAAACCTCCAAATGCTCCCATAAACCAGGCATCCAACCTTAGATCCTCTGCCCCCCCCCTCCTCTGCGTATAAAGCAGCTTCTCCTGGGGGGGGCAGCCACCAACAGCAGGTCCCTTCCTTCTTTTCTTTGTCTGCAAAACCCCAGCGGGGACCTTCACCAGCTGCTCACACCACCCAGAGACCAAGGCAGTCACTCTCTGGAGCTGCAACAGGTAGGAGCCGTGCATGATTCTCACGTTCTCTTTCTTATTCTTTGAACCCAGGGCCACTCAATTTGGAGAAGGGGGGGATTGGAGAAAGAGGACCTCCCCTTGAACAGCATGGGCTCCGAGGGGAATTTGGTACCCCAAATTCTGAAGAAGTGATGGATGCATCCATCAAAGATGCATCCATCAAAGCTGCATCCTTCTAAGCCAGGATTTGCATCCATCAAAGCTGCATCCTTCTAAGCCAGGATTTGAGGTGGAGGGAGGGGTTTGGTGATTCGGGGACCCTCCCCCCTCTTGAGCAAAGCCAGGGCTTTAATTGCTTCTTAGGATCTGGGTTTTGAGGGACATGTTTTAGAGGGTCAAAAATCCCAAGGCATCTGGTAGTATCTCTTCTGGGTAACAGATTTGAGCCACAGGCATAAAAAGCTGATGCTTTTTCTTAAGCGTTTCTTTATTCCGTTTCAACACCCCACCTTAAAAGACAAACCAAGAGAACGATAAAATAAGGAAGTGACCGAAAAGACATCAAAGATAACAAAAGTGACCTCTGGATTTCTTTTAGGACAGAGCTACTGTATTAATCAAACCAGCAGCTTTTTGTAAGTTGAAGAAATAACACCGAAAAACTCAGCGTAGTTTTCATGAAACATCCTTCATGAAACGTTCTTCTCTTGATTTCATCTAAAAGATAGTAAGAGATCAGAAGTAAACAGAAAGTTACCTATGGCTAACATTGTGAGCCAAGAAGGGAATATTCAGAATATTAGCAGCTTAGAAGACACTAAAATTTCATGTACTGCAGGAAATACTATATTGGCAGCCCTTCAGCTTCCCACAGGAAATGTGGACTTAATAACTATAAAAGTACCAGATGCTTTTCCACTGTAATTAAAAATTAATTCAATTTAAAACTTTTAAAACCGTCTGGCTTTGTTTACCTTTGTTTATCACTATCCAGAGTTGCTGGGCAGTCTCCGAATATGATATATAAATAAATAAAATAAAAATCTTTTGGGGGAAAGCAAATTTGAACGTTTAACCCGTTCCTAGCTTAGTCCTTGTTGAAAAACAGGTCTGACCTTCCTTTGTGTTTTTATTTCTGCATTTCTATCTGGGGGGGGAGTAGGAAAAATGCAGCCATTTGCATCACCGCAGTTTCTTTAGCCCTTTGCATCATAATTTTATTTATTATGAAATTATGTGCCGCCCATCTTGCTTAAAGATGAGTCTAGGCAGCTTAGAACAAAGAAAAACAACAGGATAAAACCTTAAAATGTTGCAATAATTAATATTAGTGTTACAAATTTTATTTTAAAATGGTTCAGTTTTAAATGTTTTAGCCTTCTTAAGTCCTAATCAAATGCCTCTTGCTTGTGCCAGCCACTCTAATCTAAGTTGTAAAGGCTACCATCTCTAATGCTAATTTCTCTGCTCTTGTGGTCCCACTCCCTTCTTTATGCAAGTCAGACAGAGGAGATCTCCAGGGATCACTTGCTCCCTTCCTGATATTTATCTGTGCGAAGCAGAGATGAGGGAGCCGTCTTCTCCCTTGGCATCAGGTGCCAGGCTGAGTGGATTGGGTCCCAGCTGGCAGGGCAGGGCAGCAGAAAGATCTGGCTTTCCTAGCAGGAGAGCAGAAAAAGCAGTAAAAGCCCTCTGCATATGCTCAAAGTCTTCCTTTCTTGGCAACTGGCATTGGACACCTGAACTCTGCAAGCCTGGTTTTGCCTACCTCTGATGCAAACTCCCAATTGTATCTCTTCCCAGAATCCCCCAGCAACCGAGTAAAACAACAGAGCAAACCGCCAGGAACATTTTTGGATTCCAAATTTGGGGTCTGCCCCCAGAAACTGGGAAGAGGGGGGTGGGAAGAGAGCGGCTTGACCCACCTTGCAGGTTTCCAAAGGACTCTGCATATTCTCAGAGGCACTGGGGCCAAAATGAACTCTTAACAGAATAATAGAACAGAATAACAGAGTTCTAAGGCACCCTGGAGGTCTTCTAGTCCAACCCCCTGCTCAGGCAGGAGACCCTATCCCATTTCAGACAAATGGCTGTCCAGTCTCTTCTTTAAAACCTCCAGTGTTGGAGCATTCACCGCTTCTGGAGGCAGGTTGTTCCATTGAATTAATTAGTTAATAATTAATTAATTAATTAATTAATTAACAATTAATTGTTCTCAGTGTTAGGAAATTTCTCCTTAGTTCCAGGTTGATTCTTCCCTTGATGAGTTTCCCTCTGTTGCTTCTTGTCCTGACTTCAGAAAGTGCTTTGGAGAATAGCTTGACTCCCTCTTCTTTGGGGCAGCCCCTGAGATATTGGAAGGCCGCTATCACGTCCCCCCTCGTCCTTCTCCTCATTAAACTAGACAGACCCAATTCCAGCAGCCATTCCTCATATGTTTTAGCCCCCAGACCCTAAACATCTTTGTTGCTCTTCTCTGTACTCTTTCTAGAGTCTTCTCATCATTTTTTTTTACGTCGTGATGAGCAAAACTGGATGCAGTATTCCTAGTGTGGCCTTACCAAGGCCTTATAAACGGGTACTAACACTTCACATCTTGTAAGAAAAGTAGCCTTTAAAAGAGAGGAGGCTGCTTCCAAGACCCCCTGCTACCCTGGCACATCTTGTGCCACGTCCCCCATCCCCAAATAACATCTGGCTGAGTCCTAAGCTTTTTTCTGCAGTCGCTTCCTCCCGTCTCCCACACAGGAGGGCTGTGCAATTAGCTGCTGACTTTGAACCTCGAGAAGAAGAACCCGCAGCAGAGGGGGGGGGGTTTAAAGAGGAGCTAATTAACGGCATTTGCCCCCTGCCAGTGGTGGCTTCGCCCGGTGGGGATCCGGTTGGTGCCCTTTTCCTTTGGAAAGTAGGGCAGGCTTTGAGTCTCCCACTGTCACCTGGTCCCTTCATCTCGTTGGCAGGGCCGCCCCCCCATCTCATTTCCCCCCTTAATTCTGGCAAGAAAGATGGAGGTAAGAAACAAACATTGGTTAATTGGCTTCTAGAAAGAGTGCAGAGAAGAGCAACAAAGATGATTAGGGGGCTGGAGGCTAAAATACATGAAGAACAGTTGCAGAAAATGGGTATGTCTCGTCTAGTGAAGAGAAGGACGAGGGGTGACATGATAGCCGTGTTCCAATATTTGAGGGGCTGCCCCAAAGAAGGGGGGGTCAAGCTATTCTCCAAAGCCCCTGAAGGCAGGAAAGAAGCAACGGATGGAAACTAACCAAGGAGAGAAGCAACCTGGAACCAAGGAGAAACTTCCTAACAATGAGGACAATTAACCAGTGGAACTCCTTGCCTCCAGAAGCGGTGAATGCTCCAACACTGGAAGTTTTTAAGAAGAAATTGGACAACCATTTGTCTGAAATGGGATAGGGTCTCCTGCCTGAGCAGGGGGTTGGACTTGACAACCTCCAAGGTCCCTTCCAACTTTGTTATTCTGTTCTGTTATTTTCCCTTTAATTCTGCTACGAATGATGGCTGGACGTAGGAAAGAAACATTGGTTAATTCGTCTCTAGAAAGAATACAGAAAAAAGCAACAAAGATGATTAAGAGACTGGAGGCTAAAATATAGGAGGAACGGTTGCAGGAACTGGGTCTGTCTAGTTAATTGTGTTACCTGTGTTCCTCTGAAAAGGGGCTTTTAAAATTGGAGTAGGCTGGTCATCAAGTGGGACAGTTAGACACAAGTATGGACCGTGCAATTTTTCTGGGCCAGGCTTGTGTGTGTGTTTGTGGAGAAAGTCGAGGTCTGAAAGTCGAGGTCTGTGTTGATGGCAAATGCAAAATTTCTATTTTGCATGAGTATCTTCTCATCTGGGGAGGGACACTGTGCTTCCCCACCAGCTGTAGCTGTGAACGCACAACCGGCTCGTCTCTGTGTGCCAACCGGCTGGCCGAAGGTGTGCCTCCCTGCGTAGAACATGTCCAACAACATGGCCAAGATTGCGGAGGCTCGCAAGACGGTGGAGCAGCTGAAACTGGAGGTCAACATCGATCGCATGAAGGTAAAGGGGTGCCAGTCCCTTGGAGCCAGGAAATGGGCCCCAAATGTTGGATGCTCAGTGAACAGAGGCTGCTCCTGAAGTAAGCTGGTGCAGTAGTCTAGCTAAAGGCTTCGGGAGCCAAGGGAGTGTGCCTCAACTATTGCATGCTCACTGAACAGAGGCCCAGGGCTGCTCCTTAACTAATACAGTGCAGTAGTCTAGCTAAAGGCTTCAGGAGCCAAGGAGTGGGCTTCAACTATTGCATGCTCACTGAACAGAGGCCCAGGGCTGCTCCTTAAGTAATATAGTGCAGTAGTCCAGCTAAAGGCTTCGGGAACCAAGGGAGGGAGCAGCCTCAAATGTCGGATGCTCACCGAAGAGATGCCCAGGGCTGCTCATGGAGCAAGGTGGTGCAGTGGTCTAGCTAAAGTCTGCCTGTTGCGCTTCCCCCTCCCTCGCCTGTGCAGGTGTCCAAAGCGGCAGCCGATCTCCTGGCCTACTGCGAAGCTCACGCCAAGGAGGACCCCCTGGTCACCCCCGTCACAGCGGCCGAGAATCCCTTCCGAGAGAAACGGCTGTTCTGCATCGTGCTGTGAGCCAAGACGGACCCCCTCCCCAATTTCTCTCGCCTCCGCCTTCAGTAAGAAGCCCCTCCCCAAAGTAGTTCAGCAGAGAGGAAAAAAAGGAATTTAATGTGGAGGGGAGGGCATGAGCACGCAGGCAGTCCTCCATTTTTTAACTGTTCATTTAGCGACTACTCGACATCATGGAATAAAGGGGATTGAGGACCGGTCCTCACACTTATGACCGTTGCAGCATTCCCTGTGGTCACGGGATTAAAATTCAGATGCTTGGCAACTGACTTGTTTTTACGACGGTCGCAGGTTTCTGGGGCCACGCAATCCCCTTTTGAGAACTTCTAACCAGCTGGTTTCACTTAATGACCGTGTGTTCACTTAACAACTGCAATGCTTCGCTTAAGAACAGTGGCAAAAAAGGTCCTAGAGTGGGTGCAACTCATTAAACAGCCGTCTTGCTTAGCGATGGCAAGTCTGGCCCAAATTGTCATCGTAAGTCGAGGACTACCTGCATACCACCGGTGTTTTCTTTTTCCACTTATCTTTCATATCATACAAGCAGTCCTCGACTTACAACCACAACTGAGCTCGTTTTTGTTGCTAAGCGAGACATTTGTTAAGTGAGTTTTGCTCCATTATACGACCTTTCTTGCCACAGTTGTTAAGTGAATCAATACATTTGTTAATTTAGTAACACGGTTGTTAAGTGAATCTGCCTTTCCCATTGGCTTTGCTTGTCAGAAGGTCGCAAAAGGGAATCACTTGACCCGGGACACAGCGACCATCATAAGTACGAGTCAGTTGCCAAGCGTCCGAATTTGGATCATGTGACTATAAGGGTGCTGCAACGGTCGTAAATCTGAAAAACAATCCTAAGTCCCTTTTTTCAGTGTCGTCGTAACTTTGAATGGTCACTAAATGAACTGTCGTAAATTGAGGACGACCCGTACTTATGTGTAAACCCTGGAAGGCTGAGCTTCTGACTTTTGTTTTATTCCTTTCTCATCTGCTCTCTCTAATGTTTGTGTTTTTGTTTTTAATTTCCCTCCAGTTTATATATCTGAACTGTCTCTTCCAAGGTGAATAAGCAGCATCCTCTGCTTAACAAGTGGAACAGGCCTGGCTTTAACTGAAAGCAAGCAAGCTCCTAGTCCTCACCGTCACCGAGATCCAGTTGCCTGGAAGATGAAAACCTCCAGTTGTCCAATCACACGAATTTTCTTTGTCCTGGTTTACTCTAATAAAAGTTTAGTTGTTTCTTTCCACCTCTCTTTGCTCTTGTTTTTCGCCCAAACGTCGACGGATCTTCGTCCGTAACTCATTAAGAAGCATCGGCAAGAAATAACCGGCCTCCGAGTTATTGATTCAGCCTTCGCTCTGCTTTCTGCTGCGTCGGAATGACTGAATCACCTTCTGTCATCACAAAATCGTTACCTCGACTCAAAGAGATCTGGAAATGACAATTGCCAGAAACATATTATGAATTTTCCGGAGCCAAATCCAATTTGCAAACCAACACAGAGGAAGGAGACAGCAACGCAGCCGCCATCTGGGGCAGAATTCCACCTCGTGCCTCTGCAAACCATCTTTTTAGCATTAATTTTTTTTAAAAAAACATTGTAATTGCAGGTCCTCAACTTATGGCTGTTTGGTTAGCAAGCACTCCAAGTTACGACAGCACTGAAAAAAGTCCCTTATCACTGGTCCTTGAATTAGGACCACAGTTGGGGGGAACTTCTGTTGCTAAATGAGTGGGGGGGGGTTTAAGGGTGCTGCACCCAATTTGATGACCCCTTTTTTTGACCCCGTTTTCATGTGAATCACTGTGGATCTTAAACAAATCACCCAGCTGGGAAGGTCACAAATGACAATCACAGGATGCCGGTATCCGTGTGGAAAGCCGAGCACTGAGGTGAGATGGGCGGCTGTAGAACTTGAGAAAAAGGAAAATGAAATAATAAAAATAAAATATAAAGTAAACAAAATAAAGTAAAATAAAACATAACATAAAACAGGCGATATACAACAATAAAAAAGCAACGAAAAAAATGAAATGAATAGAATGATGTAACACAAACAAATAAAACAACACAAGTGACATAAAATATAACCATCAAGTAAATAAAGTAAAATAACAACATAACAGTAAATAAAATATGTAACATACAATAATAAAAAAGAAAAATGAAAAAATGGAATGAATATAAATAATAAAACGACTAACTAAAGTAAAATAAAATATACGACAATAAAATAAAAGCAAAATAAAATATTAAATAAAATATAATATAAAATAAATGAAATAAAATATAAAAAAATAAAATAAACAAAGTAAAATAAAAGCAAAATAAAATAAATAATAAAATCACAACATAAAATGAAATAAAATAAAATAAAAAATAAAATAAAATAAAATAAAAAAAATAAAATAAAAAAATAAAATAAAATAAAAGGGGAGGTGGTGTGAATACACCATGTTGTGTGTTTAAAATAAAAAAATAAAAAAATAAAATAAAATAAAAAAATAAAATAAATAAAATAAAATAAAAGGGGAGGTGGTGTGAATTTTTTATTTTATTTTATTTTTTTATTTTATTTT